CATCGCGGCTTAACTTTTCAGAAGTCTTGCAGCCACCATTATGACCAGCCAGGGCAGAGTCATGGTAGTTTTTGATGAAAGACGTGCAAAGTCGGCGAAGTATAAGGGCTCGAAAGGGTGTATCTGAGGAGCCACCCCCTTCGTCGTCAATCTGAGGTATATACAGTAGAAGCGAGCCGTCTAGGGTCAGCAAGTACGAGTCGAAATCCATGTCAGCGTCTCTGTTGTCACTTCGGTAACGAGAAGACAACCACTCCGAGACCCTGGGATAAAGGTCATCGTTTTGGTGTGTTGTACGAAGTTCATCTCAGCTGATCAATGTTCCCAGCATGAACCAGCATCTATTGCAGCAATGATATTTACATACTCATGCACGTGCTCTTCGCCCAGCAGAGCGTGCAACAGAGCGTCTGCGACTTGGTTTTGAGAACCTGGCTTCTGCACAACGGTGTAGACATATTTTTAAAGCGTAAGTGCCCAGCGTGCCAGTCGTCCTGCCGGATTCTCCAGCCGTTGAAGCCGGGACAAGGCGGCCTTATGCGACAGGATCACAAAACGCGCGCCATCAAGATACATATTGAACTTTTGCAGTGCGATTATGACTGCTAGACACTCAAGCTCGCAAACGTTGCAATTCCGTTGAGCTGCTGTCAACCTATGGCTAGCAAGGGCTACGGGGCGTAAAGCACCATCAAAATATTGAAGCAACACAGCACCTAAACCGTATCCGCTCGCATCGCTTTGCAGAACAGACGGACAGGTGAGGTATAGGAGTTTCAAAGATGCTGTTTCAGCAATAGCTGTGGAGAGTTGGATGGAAGCATTTTGCTGTTCCTCCGTCCAACGCCACTTGACGACTTTGAGCACCATTTAGTTCAGAGGGAGCGTTATATTTGCACAGGGGTGAATAAATAGTCGGTAAAATCCAACCATGTCCAGAAATCGCTGCAAGCTTTTTGCTTCGTGAGGGGTAGTGAATTCAGTTAAGGCCTCCAGCTTTTCCTCGTTAGGGCGAAGTCTTCTATCGTCGATTACTAATCCGAGCAGGTTAATCTTAGATGTTTCCAGTTTCATTTTGCCTGGATGAACAGCCAAACCAGCATACCGCATGCCAAGGCGTAGTTGGGCCGTGCATCTCGAAGCACAGTGTCCTTAAGGCGTTGGAATGTGACAGGAGAGTTATTCAAGCCAAAAGGCATGCGCAGGAACTGGTACAATCCTCTGTAGCATGTGAATGCTGTTTCCTTGATGTCAACTGTTTCGACCTTTATCTGGAAGAAACCTCAACTGCGGTCAAGATCCGTGAAAAAGCTTACGTTTTGCAAACTGTACATGATCAACTCAATCGAAGGGTACGGGTACCGGCCACGAACGGTTACCACATTCAGGTGGCGATAGTCATTGCAAAACCCAGCCGTTCTATCCTCTCTGGGGGCAAGGACGATCGGGAATGGCCACTGGATCTGCGACTCACGTATTCCTTCCTTGTCAATCGTCTCCTGGAGCGCCTTGCCACGCAGCGCTTGCTTGGGTACGCTGATAGGTCGAGGGTCGCAGTGTAGAGGCCTTGTTTTCTTGGCGCCGATTGAATATTTAAGGACGCCGGGTCTGCCGGGGCTTTCCGTGAGCATCGGAGAAAACTCCTTCAGAAGCCATTTAAGACGCCGGTTTTGCCGGTTCGTAGCAGAAAACTTCTGCAAAGAATCGCTTACTGTACATGGGACTCGCAAAGGAGACGTTCTAACGCCAACGTTATCGACACTGACGATAAAATACTCTTGTCCGGTAAACGGGATGAGTTTCGCGTCACTACCGAGCCGGGAGCCTTCGTTCGGAAAGTCAAGATCCAGGTTTCCCCCGTAAACGTAATCTCGCCCCAAAGTAATTGGTACTGTGAGACCAGGTAAGCAAATAAAACGCTGACGGCATTTCTTCTCGTTAAACCCGATCGGTAACTCCCCGGCTTGAATGGCGGGCATTTCTGGTCCTAACGCTAGCTGTAGGCGCACGTTAATTTCGTTCCGGTTAGCTTTCTGCTCTTTGCAGCGTTCAGTCAGATAGTCCCCAATCAGTTACAAACTCGCACCGGTGTCAGTGAGCGCTGTCACAGCTATTCTGAGCACTGTAACTGTCATACGAGGCTCTATAAGCTCAGGGTACGGCTGGATTAGACATGCTGAAGGAAGTTTTGCCGGGTTTTTCGCGGCCGGCAGGGGTTCAGGGGTCAACCCCTCCGGACGTACTCGTTTCCCGAGGCTGCAGGGCTGTTGCGGCGCAGGTCGGGGCAATCACGCCGGATGCGGCAATGGCGACCACAGCTAAATCAGCGTACCGAGTTGCCACGATAAGGGTTGTGAGCCGGGCGAGCAACGGGAAATGTGAGTGCGAGGACGTATTCTTCCGAGGCTCCCGTGGCGAGCTTTTAGGCCGCCAGCTCGGCCAGGATGTCGGCTAAGGACTTCCGGTCGTCGAAGCCCTATAGGACGGGTCCGGCACTTGGGACCGTGGTCCCTGCCCTTGAGGACCGTGGTCAGCCAGGACCAGGCGTTGCGCTACTGTGTTGCAGAGGTTGGCCACCTGAGCCATGAGGTCCGTGGCAGCCGGGTTAGTCCCCCTCCGGACTTACCTTCGTCTGCGGCGCCTCTGCGGCGCTTTGCGAAAGCGAGTGCAGGACAAGCGAAGCAGAACAAAGCACGAAATAATAGACGATGAACAGGTAATATACTACAATATGCACAATATACACAATGACCAAGCAGCCATGACAAAGATAGCGTCTGGTGGTCGAAGTCTGGTCGAACGGTCACTTAGGCCAATCGGGCACGGCAAAAGCGACAAAAAATAAAAACGGCTAAGACACCTAAAACGGACGAAAAGCCTGCTGTTCGACCCACAGGAAAGCAGTGGGCCTTACGCTGGGCGCCAAATGTAGGAAGGATTCGGTGCGTACTGCTCACCCATAAGCAGGACCAACGGGGCAGGTACCAAAACACACCTGTTTGCTTCGACATCCTGCTAACGACTGTAGGACTCCCGAGCCCGATGATGGCTCCACGCACCTTGCGCGCCGAGCGCCGCGCACCAGTTTTTTTGGGCAGTTATGGGTCGCAAGACCAACAATACGTTCATTGTAAAAAAAAAAAAAAGGCCTATATTTTGTACAGCACAGCTGCTTCACTTGAAGTGTTTAACATGTTGGTAACTCTCATATTAATATCACGGTAGAACGTCTGAGCCATTATTATTTAGGGTTTTGATATTGTTTTTAATGATATTAACTCTGCATCGATTATACTTTTACTTGCATTGCCACTTTGTTATCACAGTGGAAGGAGAGCTTGAACCAGTGATGCACTTTTGTTTCCTTGAAAAAAACGAACCTTGAATAGATTGGTAAGATAATAGGTAACGTCCAAATTATTTCCTCTTGATTTGCTGTTTTAATTCTAGATTGTTTCCTTTATTTTACTTGGAATTACTAAATATTTTCAGAATTCCGTATTGCGTAGCGTCGGCTTGAAAGGAAGTGTCTAGTCAACCGAGCTTTTTGGTTGACGTATATCGGTCACAGACGTGGCGGACGTTGACCGTTTTGGAGCCATTATTGGCAGCAAACAAAGTACTAAAAAAACCTTCGTAAAACTTATACATAGCCGATGACTACCGACAGGCCGGGACGTAGAAGGAGTTTTGTTGCCTGTTACGGGTCTCTATATTACAGAGCCCGCGTGATCTAATTAGCATGATAACTCTTCGGGCATGTTCGCCAGCTCTGATTATGCCCGGGTGCTGTCCAGACGCTGGGCCTACAACCCAGAGCCTGGCTTCGGGACCTCCGATCCTCGAGGAGGGGTGGGGGGGAGGGGGGGGGGTGGGGGGGGGTAAGGAAAGGAATCGGATGAAACGCAAGACCTATGCAGATCTCTTAGTGCAAAGGGCACAACCCTTATAAACCATGACAGTGGTGCATGGGGCCGCCAATGCGGAGGGCACGCACGCACAGAGACGCGACACGGTGCCACGGCATTTGACGTAATGACGTGGGGCCGCCAAATAATACGTAATGCGCTTAGGTTTGAAAATGATATCGCCTAATCGATCGGGGTCACGTGGTTTATGCGCTTCGTTTCCAATACGAGTTGCAAGGAGACGGCGTTCATCGCTTCTCTCCTCGCCGCGCGACAATGCAACGCAAGCGCACTTGCGGCCCATCTTCAGAGGAGGCGTTCGCAATTCAATATCAAGCGCTCTCTATAGTCTGAGTCTTTTCTTTTAAATCTAGATTCCCTAGTAATAGGAATCTATCTTAGCACCGCGGCACTCTTTCCAGATAAACCCTGAGACATCCACTACTATGGAATTAATTCATGGCACTAACTTTGCTAAATGGGATATGCCGACAAACTAGACGTATTGTTGTCATTGAGTGGCCACGTTAATAATATAACTACAGTTTCATTTTAATAAGATCAGTATGAATACTCATATTATATTTCAAAATATTTCAGAACAACAAGTTACAACAATCGAGGGAAAAATTGACCGCAGCGAGGTGGTAAAATCTAAACTAGGAAAAAAAAAAAAAAAAAAAAAACTTCTGTTAATAAAAAAAAAAGAAAAGAAAAAGCTCTGAAAGCTGTTTTGATAGGAGAGCAGGGCGCCCTTCCTTCTACCTCGTCCTTCCTTCCTTGTTGTTTTGCGCTATTTTACTAATGATGAGCAGGGGAGCTTTTAGTGCAAATTGTTCGTAGCAGAAGAAAGGCTAAAAAGCTTAGCTATATATACCAGTTAGGGTTTTCATTATATTCCCATTTTCCCTGAAAGAAGCCGGATGTATAAAAGACAAACAATATCTGGCAATATTCATACACCCTGAGAAGCAGCCGATGTTTAGTCAGAGATTCACTCTGGTGTTCTTATCACATTACTTGTTTGAAAGCAGCCGTGAGGTGGCAGCCACCCATATCTAAAGAAAACGAATACCTTCTGCCTCGTTTCAGGTGATAGCCGCCGAGGGCGAGCAGAGGGCTTCACGCTCGCTCAAGGAAGCCGCCGAAGTGATCGCCGACACGCCATCAGCGCTCCAGCTGCGCTACCTACAGACCCTGGCGTCGATTGCGGCGGAAAAGAATTCGACCATCGTGTTCCCTATACCGATGGAGCTGTTCTCGGGCTTCATCACCAGCGACCAACGCCCCTACTCCGATCGTCACGGAAGCCACGGCGCCAGCGACCTCAAGAAGGACCTAGAGGCTGCCGCATAGCAGAGGGCCCGCCAATCCCGCTCCCAGAGCCTGTTCTGGGGCGGGACAGGCGCCAGGCGGCTCTCCCTCATCCTCGCGCCTCCCCTGCGCCTGGGCGGAGGCGCCAAGTCCCCGCCGGCCTAGTCACAGGCCCGACATCCGAGCTCCCGGGTTCCGCCTGGGGCTCTGTCGCGCAGCTGGTGGGTCGACGGATGCAGAGACCGAGGCTAGGCACTCACAGGAGGCCCGTCTGACGAGGACCACGCGATGCGCGCAGAGTCCGGGCCGCGATCCAGGCGAAGACCAGACAGGTCTTCGAATAGATGGCGCCAGACATTCAGGTTTCAGCGTTGTCCCGCGATGGCTGACCTGTGGGGCGGGCGCGCGTGCAACAGCAGTCGTTGGATCGGCGCTGCATCCAGACTTCGGTCAAGATTAAAAAAAAAATGACCAGCAGATGTAGACGAATCTCAAGCTCAGAGAGGGCCTCTCCGGGCCATTTGGACAATGTGTCTGGGATGATGAGCATTGCTTGTTGGGGAGCTGTAGGCTGGTTGACGAAGGAAGGCGGACCGCGATGGGACAAGCAAGGACGTGTCGTTCTGTACCGCGAGGTATATTGAGAGGTCATGAAGAGACCTAGACGTTGGCGGTAGAATCATAAAGGCAAAAATTGCGTGAAACGAACTTTCAGTAGTTGGTCACACGTGTCGTGTCGAAGAGTATGGCGTTGCGACTAATCGTTCGTGCAGCAGAGTCACTCTGTATGCTGGCAAATGCAATCTTCAAGTACCCGCGCGTACCAGATGTTATTGAGTACTGCGTAATGTGATTGCAGAGAAAACTACTTATCATTGCGAGCCCACGTTTGCGTTGAAGTCGCTGCTATTACGCGGTCTGATAGTTACCTCCTGTACACTGAAGAAAGCGATTTTACTGTTACGTTTTGCTCTCTTGTTCTGAAAAAATCAATGTTGTTTACTTCCAAATGGCTACTGTTGATCTGTCAACGTGCCTCCATGAACTTTAGTGTGTGTATTGTGCGAAAAAATAGTTGTCCTGTCCTCTTCTCCCCGTTCTAGGTTCGCATGAACTATGCATCTTATATCGGTGGGCTGCCTAACGGGAGGATGGACAAGAAAAAAACAGCGGACGTCTAAACATCTCTGAACACACAGAAAAAAGGAGGTGGGGTGAATGTAGTTGTCTTCTCTTAAGATCGCTAGCGCTGACAGGACGTTTACGGGCATACGGTGGTTCTGTGATCTAGGATGACTATCTAAATTAATATTAAAAATCTTGATGTTCGTACAGAATATATTTGCACAATAAATGTCTCGGCGTTACTTAAAATTGGCAACACGCTAAATTGAGTGCTTTCTTATATCAGGTTGTTACTTGGGATTTATTTTGCATGTCACATTTTTGTATGATTGAGATTGCCCTATCCTTGCTTAAAACTGGAGTTGTAAACCAAAAAATGGATAGGCAGTTAAAGGATTAGACCTCAATTATGTTATCCACGTTGAGCATAACTCTCTTTGTGTGAATGTAGAGCTTGAAAAACTTTAATGTATTGTGTAAATCAGAATCGACACTCAAAAGGTTCATCCTGTTTGTTTATAGCCCACGCTGATTCGCTTTAGATGTAACAAAAGTAAAACATAACATCTGTGATTGCAAGTTAAGTTATTAGAAGTGCGTGAAAACGCAGTCTGTTTTCATCAGAGGACAAGGAGCAAAAAAGATAAACACCCACGCCATTACAAGTTCAAGCTGGAGAAAAGATAGAAAAGGAGTACAAAACAAAGCGGTAAAACTATGAGCAATTAACTGAACTAAAATTTTTGGGTTATCTCTTAGTCAGACAAACGGGGACCTTGCATGTAGTATAATTAAAATCACGGACATCAACGCCAAAACCTTATGCATGTTTGCGAGAGCGAAAACGGGGCCAAAGCCGTCGTTATTGAAACAAAGAATATTACCTGACCCAATGTATAAAGTAGTAAATTGCTTACGATGTCCTACATAATTACGCGGAAGTATAATAATTAAGCAAAAAATTAAAAATTTGTTTATATTTTGAAAAAAAAAAGTTATCAATACATTCTTGCTGTTTACTTTTAGTATCTCTTATGATACTCCATTCTGCAGAGACATCGTTATGAGTCGATTTCAATTACCTGTGGACGTCGACTCCTAAGTGGAATTGAGGACCTGTATAAATATTACAAGGTCCGTTTGAAAATGACCATAAGCCTCCAAAACTTGGACGTTGGGTTCTTACGAGCCTCCAAGCACATATTCTCCTCTGCATATTTCCAATACTCCCAAGAGTTTGACACGTGACACAGTCACGACAGTACTTGACTATCCTTCTCTTCAACTCCATCCAGTCAGAGAGTCTTCTGTGAGTGTTGTCCTTGTCGTGAATTCGCAAGCATGTGAACGTTCCATTTCAGTGTTAATAATAGTTGAGAGTTCACTTGCAAGGAATGAAGTTTCCGGTGTTTAACTAACTAGGGGCTTATACTAAATGGAGTGCCAGCACTTACTAGCTTACATCAAACGGAGAAACGGCAAGGCGCGTATTGTTCGTGTTTTGAGGCTGCTAAACTTTTGGGAAAATCTCGGTACACACTCTTTGTAAAATATTTCCCTGGAAATAGTACATCGGCAGCCAAATCGGCGCACAACCTTTCTATGCGCTGGAGACGAAGGTTGTAAATGTGTACTTGTCTGAGTGTTATAAACACAAAAAGACGTTCTGTGTTTCACGAGTTTGACTTCTTTCCTCCAATCATTCCTGGGACCTAATTGGTCCTTTTGCTCTGTCATTGATACTTAAGTGAAAAAAAAAAATATTTCTTGGTACATAGCTTCATCACCACCTAAATGCTGAGTAAATAACACAAATATGTGTTCTTCAATAAGTCTTTGGAGACTTTTCTGACAATTGTAGAGACTTGAAATTCCTTGGAGACATTTGAGGTTGCTTAATGATTGCCTATTATGAGCCCTTTGGCCATTACCCCGGCTTTAAACGGTTAACTCGTTGATTACGGTAATTCGGAATCACTATAATTTGCAAAGCTACGCAAGTTACTACTGTCAAATGGCCACTTCGATTCCCTAACCTATTAACCTGAGTCACTTTAGAAACGTACACTAAGGCACAGGGTTATCTAGAAATTATGGTCTAAGTAAATATGGGCCTTGGTCAAAACATATTCCTTGAAAACTTTCACAAGCTAGTTGAAGGCCCGGAAATCAGGTGGGGTCCTTGTAACTAAAGTAAGAACATTTAAATATAAATCTTATATTTATTGGTAAGCTGTACCCTAAAATTGACACAAATTAACGTTATGCTTTGAAACCAACGCTCCACGAAAACAGACACAAAAGCTTTTTTTTTTTTTTTTTGCGCTGGAAGATCGAATATACAGAAAGTCGGTCGACATCTGACATTTAGTGCTTAACAAAATAATTTTGACTAGAAGAAAGCTTTGTGAAATTTACAGCAAAGGATGGAACATGCGGACATGGTCCACTCTACTTAGGCATAATTAGTTAATTTAACAAACTAATTTATTATACAATCAACTCACGTAAATCTCGAACCATTCAAGTGCAAATTACAACTCATAACGGCTAAAACACTCTAAGTATTCGAGCTAAATTTATAGATTTTAAGCTATTAAGCAGTTAAGTGTACTTTCTATGTATTGGTTTTGATTGGATAAACAAAAGGCGCCGTCAGTAGCATCATAGAAATGAACGGTGTACTGACCTTCTATACCTGAAGCGCCAACCAAACGGCGAAAGTGATCACAGGTTCTTAGACACTTGTTTGGGTTCTTGCAGATTTGTTTCACTTAAAAATTGCAATAGTGTTGAAAATAGATCTAAAAAAATGATTGTATTTCAAAGTAATTTGAAGGTCACAAAATATATTGTATTTCAAGAGATTTCATGGTCACATTTAAAGGACACACAATTGATTGTATTTCATGGTGATTACGAGATAACATTAATAACCACTTTTCGTAAGAAATAGTACTTTTTTACTTAAATTGACTAAAACGGACGTTGATCGAGTTTGTTTCGAGCGCATGTCTTCATGTAACTATTTAAAATCCTTTGATAGTATGAACGAGAGTGAGTAGCACTGTATTCGAGTTCACCAGGTAGCTTCTACTCCTAGAGTTGTCTAGGTAGACTTTTTTTAAATATGCGCAATGCTAAAATGCAAATCGGGTACAAGTGTAAGGCCCAGAGTGTAGTAACGTGTTGATTGAATTGTATTAGACAGGACAATGTAGAACCACTACATACTAAACGCAGATATCAAGCCATCTATCTATATGTACATAGAGACTAATTCCTCGGATGTACAGACCAATTTGATTTGTGCGCCCTGCCAGAGTGAATGTGGCCATTTCAGAAATACATTAATGCACATAAAATTTAAACAGAAATAAATTTAAAAACAAACTGAGTTTGCGCACTGCATTTTGAACGGGCCGGACCTAGAAAATACGAAAATAAATAAGTTCGATATCGAGAGTACATTGGATGGGTGTTTTATAACGAATTGGTTATCAGCTCTTTTCAAGCTGAGACTCAATAGCACTTAGCTACATTATACAATTCTTTCGGCTCTGCGCAAAAAATAGCCATATTCAGGAGCAAATTTTCAATCACCATTGGTTAATCAATTCACTCGCTTTGTGTACCTTCAAGATGATGCATGTATGCGTAACAGTAAAACATAAGAAAGCACATTATAGTAATATTTCTGTCCACATTAAAGCAGAATGATATGAAACTGACTTCACAAACACTGCACTATTCTTGATCAATAAATCATTTTTGCAAATCACTGGGGCATTTATTTATCATGCTTCCTAAGCACTCTGTTGCTAGAGAATCTGTTCTAATGTAGTGCGTTACTTGGCCATCTTAATTCCCTGTCACCGTTGGCATGTGTCTCAATAAGACTCCACTTAACTTACTTCGCATGACTTGTTACACCAGTATCGTCCATCCAGGTAGTAGTTACGACCTGTAAATTATAGGATACACGAAGAGCTCGCAACATTTATCTAGTAATATTGAGCCAAACTCTTATATCGTTAACCAAGCGCTACGTACATAGCTAAAGAAATGCAGATATCTACGTATCTATCATGTTTACAAAGCCTTCTTCATCCGCATGATAACCATTTGATTGGTTTGGAAAATATATTATGTACAAAAATAATATAACGTTGAAAATTTTACGCTAAAATACATTGTTGCCCATTTATATGTACATACTATGTGTACTCGAGGTGTACATAAAGTAAAAAAGAAATGAGCGTCGGCCGTCGGTGATTCTGGTTGTGTGCGCAATTGCATGTATATCATTTGAAAGGTCGGGACGTGCGTGCGTGTCTGATTGCGTGTGTGTCTGTGTAAAATGTTAAAAATGAGACCAAACTGCACGTGTATATACGTACACACGTAAAGTCTATAAGCGCGCATTTGCCGGTGCATTCTTGTGTGTTGCAATCGCTAGCCAACAGCGTTGATCTATTTTGCAATTGTTTCACGCCTGTATTATACATAGAGCACAATTCCACTTCCGCTGACTTTATCTGTTGTACATACGCCATTTTTT